CAAAGTCATCCTTGCAATCAGCAGCACCATGCAATAAATCATGAAGCTCATAGTATACTGGTATTGTAAGGCTGATCTGGGGCTTTTTCTCTGACACGAATAAGGTAAATTCATTGAACTTTGAGAGAACATGATGGATCTGAGAAAGCCGCTCCCAGTCTCGTATTGTAAAAGGAGGAAAGTCCGTCTCATATTGAAGGAACTTTTCGAGCTGATATCTGGACTTCAGAGTATTAGTCTTATCCTATATAACCTTAAAGCCAGTAGCTTACCTGTAAAGCATCACTAAGCATTCGGAAAGTTGAATTCCATCGTGTATCAACATCATACTCAATGAACTTATTAGGGAGGTTCATGCGTTTGCAGCTATCGTTCCATAACTGCCTGCGGTGAGGGCTTCAGTGGATCCAGAGAGCCAGGATGCGCAGCTTTGCAAGCGGTTCAACAGTCTGGAATGACTGGTAATTTCCCTCATCAAGGTTGTTGCAGACAATATTAGCTTCTCCTATATTACCAGACCTGAGAGCCCCAAGGATATCCTTAACAATGAGATTAATAATATGGGCTAAACAGCGCACGTAACTCCCTAAGCCAGAGAATAAGAGGTTGTTCTCATGCTCTTTCTGAAGATTCTGGGATAGCTGTAGCACCATTCGCTCATTATTAGTAGCATTATCACCAGTGATCGAAAGCAGTTTTTGTTCAAGCCCAAGTTCAGTACGCAATGATTCAACAGCTGCAGCCAGGTTCTCTCCACTATGTGGTCCCTGCAGCTCCTTGAACTCTAGAACTTTTTCTCAATACTCAAACTCTTCCGTAAGCCAATGGCCAATGACACCAAGGATAGGTAGATGATTCTGGCTAGTCCACACATCAAGAGATAAAGCAATTGTTTTGCATGTAGCTGAAAGCTCCTCTCTCAATTCAGCACGCTGTAAGTCGAAATCTTCCATGAGACGTTGCCGAAGGGTGTGACGAGAGGCAAACGGAAGTGAAATTGCTGGTATATCTTTGAATATTTGCTGAAATGTGACTGATTCAATGATAGTAAAAGGTTGCTTATTACTGACAACCCAACGGAGAAGGTTCTTTTCAAGAGTTTCTTGAGTTGTAAGCTTCTCCTTATTACCCCAGAGGCTGGCAATAGTAGGCTCCTGAGTAATGGTCGCCGACTTAGAGGTAGTAATTCCAGGCGGTAAGTTTCCATGCTTGTCTTTTAAATGGAGCCGAATATTGGTAGTAGATATCTGTCGCTTTGAGTCTGTTGTAGACCAATTACATGATACCCCGGTATTCTTGTTGATGATAGTACAAGAGATTTCTCAGTCAACAGATCTCTTCTTTCTGCTCCTCTTCTCAATCCATTCATTAGGAAACTCTCTTATCTGAAAATAATCCCACAACCATTCAATCTTCCGTTGTTTTGTGTGTGAATGTTCGGAAACATTAGTAATAGTAGTAGTTGTAGTTAGAAATTGAGAGGCAGACTCTGACGGTAGGATCTCTTCATCCAGAAAACCAAGATAAGAGATTGTATCAGTAGAGGCTACTGGTTGAATAATAGATTCAGGTAAAGAAGGTGGGCCATGCTCTTGTAGATCTTGAGCTGCTGGAGTCTTGGTTAGATTCGACATCCAGTCTTCAGGTAGTGTATCACTATCAAAACCATCATTTAGAGCGAGGTAATGTTGACGAATTCCGCGTGTTTACATTGCCATTGGAAAAGAACAGGTAAGTAAGTAACTAAAAGAAGAAGTCCCTTTCGAGCGCTAAAAATTATGTAGATTGTTGCAAAGAGCCAAAAACTTAAGAAATATTAAAGCCAGGGATGCATTCTTTCGATGCACGTGATATATTACGAATAACGAATAATTATTCGTATTCGCAGTTTATTCGGCGAATAATTATTCGCATACTTTCAACCCTGCGAATAAAATTGCGAATATTATTCGCAGTGTTTGCGAACTGCGAATACGAATAACGAATAATGCTAATACCTGCGAATATTCGTATTCGCAACAGCCCTAGAGCGGGGCCATCAAGCTGAAAACAACTGCAGCTAGCAGAGCTGACTCCATCGGTCTTACATGGTGTTGGGATAAGTATTGTCATCTGGCTCCGCGGTAGCTGCTGGCTCCCGTGGGGGCAGCCTTTCGACCCCTTTTTCTGGCGGGGAAAGCACGGACCGCTTTCCAGCCGCAGCTGAGTTCCCTGTCACTCTTACGCTTCCGGCCACGTCGGCGCCTACAATAATCTAGTATTATAGAGTATTTATGTACTCCAGGTCGGTCTCTTTGATATAAAAAAGACCATATTTGCCCGAGCAGTGTACACAAGAATCCATCTTGATCTCCCGCAAGCCTATCACCATCAATCAATCTATAAATTTACGCAGAGCCACACGCACCCTATTAAGATGACGGGTGCGGAAGTTATTGGTGCGGCATCTGGAATAGCAGGTCTTTTTACCACGACCATTACCTTGTTTGACTATATCTATGTTGCAAAAAAGGCGGCCCCACGACTACAGTCCCTGATCGTGAAGCTTGGCAGTGCGCAACTAAGACTAACGCGCTGGGGCCAGGCTGTCGGTCTCACAGGCTCGGATATCGAAGACGAGGAATCGCTGAAAAGTTCAGGCTCGTTCCAGCTCGACGAAGAGCAGGAGAATCAGGCTATACGGACATTTCGGATCTTGGTAACTCTTTTCGAAGAGTCGAGGAAAATCTGTCACAACGAACGCAATGGAAAGTCTGAGGATGACCCTGAAGTGAAAGCGAACGAAATCAAGCCGTTCGGCCACCAGGATGGCTTTAAGTGGAGCGCTATGCACCGTTACCTTCATGAGACAATGCAAAAAATCGTCCACGAGCGCAGAAACAAGATGTCAGTTCCTCGACTCTTCAAGTTCGCTGTTTATGACGAGAAGCATCTCGAGAAACTGGTTAAGGACATCAATGACCACATTGACGCACTATACCAAATTCACACTCCGTCCGCGAGCGATGAAGAAGAGGCGGGCCAGCAGGAAATGGATAAGCTTCTCAAAGTCATGAGGGAATTGCAATCTGCATCAGAGCGGGATCCAGTGATGAGCACGGCTGTCAAGAATATATTGCACCAAAGTGTAAGTGGCGGTCGATCTTATTCTCCTATCTTCAATTTATTATCAAGCTGTTGACGCAAGCAGAATGAAAATATGACCTTCAACACCACGGAGTCTACTGTTATGAAAATAGGGCAGGATCAGCAAGGCCGCTATGAAATGACGGTCGGATCTGATGCAAGCAAAAGAAGATAATGCTATGTTGGCCAGCTGACTGCAATTTGAAGCAGTATATAAGTTATCAACAAACAAGAGGTTCGCTATACACCAGTAATGTGGTGGTCAAAATGACGATTGGATGAGGGTCTGCCTCTATAAATTATCTGCGAAAGATGAGCTCCTAAATACACGAGAAGACAGTCCGAAATCGGCTGTGTTTATCATATCGAGTGCTCAATCACGAATATCACACAATCAACTTAGCCTTGCTGAATTGGAAATGGGCATAAGCCTAAATCCCGGGCGCCTTGAAAGGTCTCGAGGTAAAATCATTACTATACAGAAGGCTTCGTGTCGGTCACTTTGTAAATGAAATATTTGGGAGAAGGGTATATAGCTGCTGGTAGGTGGCATTAATTACCACTGGCACTGTCCTTCAAGTGGTGGCAAAGCGGTTAATGAAATTTTGATCCGGACCGAATGTTTTTCATCAAATGCGGAGAGAAAGAAATCGGCTGATTGGCACTCGAACGAAGGGAATGTCCTTTTGAGGCAGTCCCAATATTATTCGTTAGCGGCCTGAAAGCCAATCCACACTGGCTGACCGACCTTAGACAAGATAACTTCACAAACACCCTAAATTGTCGACGAGAGTCTAGTGGCAACAAGCTATAATGAATAACTATGAGACCTACGTATCTATAGCTAATCTTTATATTTGAGGCGTCATTAGGAGATAGTGTGATGACACCGATGAGAGAGGAAGAGATATATAAGAAAGATGCCCGGGAAAACACCAATACTGTTGACTACGAGATCCTAACCTGCCATGGTACTCCATTTGAAACGAGGATACATACGACCATCGATTGCTAGAAACTCCGTTGAAATGATTTGGGTACCGAAGAAAGGCACGACAGAATTGAGACGTCAGAATTACATCCCGCTGAACCGAGTTACGAAACGTTACGTACACGCGCTACCACCGCAGAATCCCATAGATCGAGAATTTTACGATACCGATGGTACGCGAAATACGACATTGAAGAAGCTTCGACATTAAAATCTGAGAATCCGACATACCGAAAACTGCTTTTCGCTGCAACCTTGGCACCTGTGAATGCACACGAATGCCCTTAGCGGGATCTTTGCGGATACTGCTTGGGAGAAATACTGTCTTATTAGTATGGAAGAGACGATCTGGAGTATCAAGCCCTCTACAAATACTAGATTGTTTTCGGTGCCGAGTGACAGGTAGCTCAGCTGCGGCTGAAAAGCAGTCCGAGAGGGGCTGATCTGCAAGAGCGATTGGCAGGATAATACGATGTGGTAGCATCTGTCATACCACATGAGCGCTCTTCCTGATCTTATTGCCCGAATGTAGGGGAGGGTGGCAGCGAAGTATGGGCCACTCACAGGCAACAGCCCGTTATTTGCACGGCTTGCAAGTATAGCAGCAGCCAATGCGGAGCCAAGTGGCAATCAATACCTGTTCTAACACCATGCAAGACCGACGGAGTCAGCCCTGCTAGCTGCAGTTGTCTTCCGCTTGATGGCCCGGCTCTTTCATCACGTGCAAAGCAGAAGCTTTTCTGATCGATCTTGGAACGACGGCTCGAATTCTGTCCCCCACCGGATTTTTCTGCTGGCAGTGGTGCATTACAGTGGATTTATGAGCCACGCTTGACTCACTTTAGAGCAGAATTGGCTAGCATCGTCTGATATATCCATTACCATGAATCGTCAACAGTTCGATATCAATGGGGGAAATATCCAGGCTCAAGGAAAGTTTGAAAATTCGTAAGGGCATATTGACATTGATATGGCTTTGAAAATCTATGCTGACATGGTATTCTACTAGCATCTTCTATCAGTATATCGGAGGTACGCCTGGACATCAGGTTCTCACTTAGGGGTTCTCAGTCTAACATGAAAACTCGCAAGACCAAGACAGACAAAGTAGAGATCGCTGCCTCGACTACTTTGCAGTGACTGACCCGCGTGATGTCAAGATGGCCATCCACCAGACGAGAGGAGCCGCACTCAAGCAATCCTACAACTGGATCCTCCACCATCCTCAGTTCCAGCATTGGCGCAACAACAATGACAGCCAGGTCCTTTGGATTAAGGGCGATGCTGGTAAAGGCAAGACGATGCTACTCTGTGGTATCATCAATGAGCTTGGCCCGACCACGAAACTGGAAGATCCCTCAGCGAAGATATTCTTGTCTTTTTTCTTCTGTCAAGCCACAGATCCTAAGCTCCGTAACGCTCAGGCTGTCCTGCGCGGTTTGATCCATATGCTCGTGGTCGCGCAGCCGTCATTTCTCTCCCTTGTACGGCAGAAGTTCAAAGAAAATGGAGAGCCGCAATTCGGGGACGCGGAAGCATGGGCTGCACTCTGCGTTATGTTCTTGAATATCTTACGTGACGCTAGCTCAGAGCAGATCTACATCGTGGTTGATGCGCTTGATGAATGCGTGCAGGACCAAGACAAGCTCGTACAGTTTATTCTCCACGAGACGAAGGAGCTCTCGCACGTCAAATGGATTATTTCCAGCCGGAATCATGTTGAGCAGCGTACAAGGCTCGACGATTCGCAGTCAATACTATGCCTGGAACTACAGGAAAATGCTGAATCCGTGTCTGTGGCTATCGGAGCTTACATTTCTAATCGGATAGCAGAGCTTCAATCTCTACAGGATGATGATACCTTGCTAGAATATGTGCAGCAGACCCTCCAGAAGAAAGCCGAAGGAACCTTTCTCTGGGTGGCTCTTGTCGTCCAGGAACTCGAGGGAGTCGACAGCTGGGATGTGGAGCAGGTGGTCAACGATGTACCAAAAGGGTTGGATGACCTGTATGCGCGAATGATCGACCATATCAACAAGCTTATAGGACAAGGCAGAGAGCACTGTCTAAAGGTCCTAGCAGCGACGGCACTGGCCTATCGGTCGCTTCAGCTGCTGGAATTGGGGGTGGTGTCTGGACTCCCAGACAAGATTGCCCAATTTGCCAAGAATATAGAGAAAATTGTCAAGAGATGCGGCTCCTTCCTCACAGTTCGCGACTCAACAATAGACTTTGTCCACCAGTATGCCAAGGAATTTTTGATCAAACATGCTGGCCCGAGCATATTCCCCTTTGGCTTCCCGGCTGCTCACCGCCGTATGCTCACGCAATCCCTACAGGCCATGCATAAGACATTAGGACGCGATGTCTATAGCCTGCGTGCCCTTGGTACTCCCATCGGCCAGGCCAGGCCGCCTACGCCAGATCCTCTTGCGGCTGTGGGTTACTCATGTATTTATTGGGTAGACCATCTGGAAGGGATTTTCAAGGCAGAAGCTTTGGCATCTGCATTGAATGAGAACATCGAGGATTACAGCGCGGTGGATAAATTTCTCCGAGATAAATATCTCCACTGGCTTGAGGCGTTGAGCCTTCTTCGAGGGATGACAGAGGGAATACTAGCCACCCAGAAGCTCGAGTTCCTTATAAGGGTATGTGTTGGCCACGAGATCTATGGTAGTAATCTAATATCACTTTAGGAGCGATCCGGAGCAACCGGACTGCAGGAGCTCGTCCAGGATGCATACCGATTTATACGCTACCATCGAGGCACAATCGAGGACACCCCTCTCCAGGCGTACGGATCGGCGCTGGTACTCAGCCCACAGCGGAGTGTGATCAAGCAGGAATTCCAGCACGAGCGGTCCAAGAATATTGCGATGGCTCCGCCAATGGGCGATGACTGGGATGCGCATACTGGCGCCTGCCTGCAGACGCTGGAGGGCCATGATGACATGGTCAACTCAGTGGTATTCTCCCACGACAGCCGCCGCATCGCGTCCGGGTCGAGGGACAAGACGATCAAGATCTGGGATGCGCAGACCGGCGCCTGCCTGCAGACGCTGGAGGGCCATGATGACATGGTCAACTCAGTGGTATTCTCCCACGACAGCAGCCGCATCGCGTCCGGGTCGTGGAAGAAGATCAAGATCTGGGATGCGCAGACCGGCGCCTGCCTGCAGACGCTGGAGGGCCATGATGAATGGGTCACCTCAGTGGTATTCTCCCACGACAGCAGCCGCATCGCGTCCGGGTCGTACGACAGCACGATCAAGATCTGGGATGCGCAGACCGGCGCCTGCCTGCGGACGCTGGAGGGCCATAATAGAAGAGTTAATCTTTCCTTCGATGTTACTGGCTCTTATCTTCATACTGACTCAGGACTTGTCCCCCTTCGTCGCTCACCAATACCTACCCCTAATACTTCAACAGATGTTGCTACTTCGGCATCCCAATCGCTATCGGCCACTCAAGAGCTGCAACCCCTTTCGTATCAAGGCTACGGAATCAGCTCTGATAGGCTTTGGATTACACGGCGTTCACAGAACTGGCTGTGGCTGCCCCCCACATATCGCCCAACCTGTTCGGCTGTAGGTCAAACTGGGTTAGCCTTGGTGCTTGGCTGCCGATCTGGACGTATCCTGATCTTTGGATTCACACCTGGGGATTCCACCTGAGCGCGTACGGCCAACAGTCACGATACTAAGTGGCTTCGACACTCTCACCCGGGCTAGTCTGCCACACATATGGCTTCTTCCTGAAATTCGCAGACCTGGGTGTCATCCTATCAAACATCATGTACTTGCCCTTGGATATCCATCCTGTTGCATACTCGTTATTGGATTTTGTGCATACAATTGCATCTACTTTTAAATCACACTAGTGGTGGAATCGAATACAGATTTCTGTCATTCCAATTCGAAAATCCTTATGGGGTCCATTATTCGTATTTGATATTCGAATGTTCGAAAATACACCCGTTCTTTGTCGGAATTTTGGCCGCGTGAAATCATTGGTTGACGCCCCTATGCGACTGACCCTGGTTTCGTCGCGAATACTTTGTTTATTTTATCTCCTGACGGATTTTCCAACGATGTGGGGTATTCAATATTCTATATTTTATCATAACGAGCGACAGCAGTATCCTTTGTATCGGCTACAATGGAGGATGCTTCCCCTTATGTTCTGAGACGTCCTCAACGGTTTTAAAGAATAGATTACTGTCTCTTCAATGATGGAAGCGACGATGAAGTACTGCTGGAAAACCGGATCTTTAAAAGACCTCGTTTAAACAAGCCAAAAGAAAGGCCGGTGCCTATAACGCTGGATGACTCAGTGAGCCAGTTCGATGAGAACCGCAGCTCTCCTGTAGAATCACTTCCGCAGGACGAGTTTCCTGAATGGGGATCATCTGAAATCTCTCAGCGATCTACTCCATCTTTACCTCGCAGCCAACCGCAGAATGACGCGCTATGGTCCCAGTTCATCGTATCTCCACTTCCAACGGAAATGGGCCAAGAGACCGGCTGACTCGCACTATATCTTTCCTACCCGAGCGACATGCAACCCAAAGGGGCGTGACCTCATGTCCAGATTCGGCATTCACCCTGATTTCTGGCTGTCCAAGAAGGAGCTGTGCCACAGGCAAGCGTGCATGTTGCACGGCACGTGCTAGGGGTGTATTGTCGGAACATGGGTTCTTCCCCTGTCCTTTGGTGTCGGGCTGCACTGCCTTAGTCAGCATCTCATTAGTACTTAGCCTAGCCTCCGGTGTGCATCCGCACCCCTGAATACCAGACTCCTCCATGCTTCCACAAAATCTTGATTTTGTTGAGCAATCTACGAACCCTCTTCTCTCTCCTCACTCTCTGACCTGAGACGACGCGTGCAGTCCACAACCAGGACTATTAGGTTCTCTGCTGTTGGTGGTGGCTATATTGTGTTGATCATGTCCTGCCTTCTGCTTCGCGTCCGTATCGCGTAATCTTCAAGCTCCGGTGCCTTAAACGATTGTCGGGCAGGATAAATGGAGTGACAAGTTCTGTTCTCCGTCGTAAGGGCGTACGTGAGAGGGGGCACGACTTCCTCTCTGGTACTGGGGCTGTGATATTTGGTGTTTCGTGAGGTTCGGAGGCTCGGTTTTCGGCTCGTCGGGCGCGTCGTGAAAGGGGTATGATCGCGTTGTTGAGCTCCTCCTGGCACTTGGAGACAGCCAAACTATTTCTCTGAGAGTTCCCAGCGGGGGCACCACGTGGAGGTGGGAGCTCGTCGCCCGCCCTTCTTGACTAGGGTCATTTGCACAATTTTATGGTCATCGCACTTCAACAAGACACACGAAGGACGGCGTTTTGTCGAGGCCAGCTCTCGTAGATTCCATGATGGCTAGTGCAGTTGCAGCTGGGCGTTATGGTTGAAAATTGATCGTCTGACAAGGTGAAAAGAGCCATTTTATCTGAGGGATCGGCTTCAAATTGACTGCAACTTGTCCATCGGCGTCAAGGCGTGAATGGAAGAATAGACGGACAAGAAGAGCAAGACGTTCTAAGGTTAATTGTAGACTGTCCATCTCAGCTGAGATATACCTGAGTCAGTACCCTTCTCGCTTCGGGGTTTGTAGACTAAATTAATTCGACATGACCATGCATATCGACCAGGAAATGCTAATCTAAGGTGATGACTTCGGGGGGTTGTTGGTGAGTCGTTTGGACATTGGTATCGCCATTCGTAATAAGACGCGGCTCCTGTTCGACCTTGGGTCTTTGGGAGGCCGGATAATCTGCATTGGCGCCGATGTGTTTTCGCTTGGATGCAGTTCGGTCTAAACCGCTTCGATCCGAAACCTCCGTTTCGGCCCTGACTTGCCACGAGCCGCCGGCTTTGACTTGAATTGCTCGAGCGGTTTCGAGTCGGCTGGTGCGCGCCAACTCCTCGCGGACTTCAACTAAGAAGCCGTCGACGACTAGGCTCTGCGGGCGGGCGTCCTGGTGGCAGATGGGGCATTTCCAGTTTTCCTTCATCGACCCGTTCCCCGATTTAGACGCTTGAGTTAAGATGAGTACTCTCCAGCCCCAGCCTGCAGACGAATGCTTAGGCATTGCTGTGGACCATCGTCTCCGTGCACTTTTCAAGCCAATATACAAGAAGCCGCGCCTTAATACCGACGAAAACCATAGCCTGTACCTTGCTCGGCTCGGTCGGACGAGCACACACAGAGAGATAACAGAACCGGAAATTGATGTAACACAACGGTTCTTCAATCTAAGCTTTGTCGGAGGCATTACTGTTATTTTGATGCAGCCTTCGAATTTTCACCCTTACTGGAAAGGCTTTGGCTCGGTCATCAGAAACTGCGGAACGCATTTACTCCTGGATGAAGGGTTCAGAGCTGTCACCTGTGGCTCTATCGGGCTGGGGAACGGGGTTCTGTCTATCATTGATTCTGCACCATACACTCTTCCGAAGGACAAAGTCTCAGCAGAATATAAAAAGGTTATGCGGCGATGTGCTAGTGGGATCATCCGCGAAAAGAACCCTGATGTGGTTCTTTGCATGTGGAAAGACACGGACGGAATACCTTTGAGAATGGCAAAAGTACAAGGCGTGGGTGTCGGTAAAGAATTTGCCCACTTGAGAATAAATTTTGGTGGCATCCCGTTGGACAGGGTGAACTCTTTTCATCCAGGTTTTGCTGCAAATTACAACCCTCATATCAGCTGCTTCCGACAGCTATTTCTCTTGAATATCGCCGAAGCGTGCTATCGATACGAACATGGCATTTGGCGCGAAGAAGAATGGATGAAAGATTTGAAAAGCAGATGCAGGCAAGAAGCTACACGTGTTAGTGGTAGGCTGTGAAACCATTACTCGAGATATAGAATTGATATACTCAAATCGAAGGGCAGGTATTGTGAAAGAGTATGTATACCTCGAAAGAAAAAACAGACGCATCTGTTCAAATGCTTACGGTTTTTATAAGTGATTTTGAGTACCTCGTACACCACTTGGGGGCTCAGTTGGAACAGATTCAAGAATTCATGACATCTCCGACTTTTAATAATAGGAAAGCAAGTATCACATACGACCATATTCTACGAAGCTGGGTATTGGAAAATTCCAACGACGCAAGTTTATGCCTAGAGCAGATACGGCTGCACGATGTCTGCATCTACCCGGACGACATCACACCCGACGACAAAACGAGAATATCTTCCGGTGGAAGGAAATACCTTCAGCTCCTACAAAATGTACTTCATAAATCTTGCTACCGCCAACCCATGCACAAGAGCAGCTCTACTGGGTACTACGACCCTGCTCATCTCGCCAGTTTCCTGAGGAAATCCGACATAATTAAGAGACATGAACTCCCACTGGTCTCAATAATCATAACGGAGCTCTTGGAAGGCCTCAGCTCAGCCTTTGTATGGGACAAGAACCACAAAAGCGAATGCAAAGTGGATCTACGACAGATTTCGAGACACTTTTTATGTGCTGCTCTAGGGTTTGAAGAGCTGCTAGGCCAATTAGCAGAAGCTTCCCAGGGCGGCTCTGCGTTGGACAATCTGGAGAGGGGCGTCGCAACTCGCAAGTTTAGGAGTCTGATGAAAGGTACCTATTCTGTAGAAGATAGTTTTTCTATCTCTGGGGTATTAAGTGACTCTAAGAGCATTTCCAGTTAGTTTTCCAATATACACTGGTCCGTTCAGATTAAAGCTTTTCCAGTTTATTCATGTCTGTTAGATCTCTACTGTATGTTTATCTTGCCGTTTGTCACATAAATTACAGAAAGCACGATTGTATGCCTCGCCTCCATACCACCACCTTTAATAATCGATCACGTATGTATGTCGTCATGACTTGATCTAGTTCGTAGACACCTGATAATAGGAAAACCCAATCTATTTATGTGGATGACATACCCCAAGCATTAGCTGTGATCTGCCTCTCATTTCGTACACGTCCTCAATCATGGTTGGTGACAACATTCTCAAACTCGCAGTTCTCATTGATGCGGACAATGCTCAGTCCTCCTTCATTGATCTTCTCCTCTCCGAAATTGCGAAATACGGTACAGCTTATGCGAAGCGAGCATATGGAGATTGGACTAGACCCAATTTGCAGGGCTGGAAGAATGAACTTCTTAAGCAATCGATCCAACCAATCCAGCAGTTCTCGTATATCCATGGGAAGAATGCGACCGACTCAGCTATGATTATAGACGCAACGGACCTTCTGTACTCTAACCGATATGATGGGTTCTGCCTCATCTCAAGCGATAGTGATTTCACCCGGCTGGCGGCTCGTATCCGCGAGTCAGGAGCGACCGTGTACGGATTCGGTGAGCATAAAACGCCCAAGGCCTTCGTCGCTGCATGCGACAAATTTATCTACACTGAAAATCTCGTGCATCTCGATGAGCTTGTTCCGCATGCGGACAGCGTTATCGTTCCTGAAAATCATTTATCGGCCCGACACACTCAAAATAATAGCCGCCTAGCAAATCAGTCGCGAACAACGGTAGAAGCAGTCTCCGATGACGATGGCTGGGCTAGGCTCTCTAACGTCGGTCAGCTCCTCACAAAAAATTATCCTGACTTCGACTCTCGTACCTATGGATACCATAAACTCAGTGACCTTATCACCGCCATCCCTCTGTTTGAAACTACCCGCCGCTCCCTTCGAAATGGATTACCCACGGAGATCTTGGTACGCGATAAGCGTAGGAAGCCTAAAGGTTCTGCTACGTAAATGGGCGAATATAGATTGTTTGGCCTTCCTTGCCCTATGTCTGATCTATGGCCAATCAACAACGACTGGTGCTTTCATTGAACCCCTATTTCGTCCAAATCTTTGGGGACAGCCCAGCAAGAGATTAAAGCCTATTGCGATGTACGACACGCCTTGTCGGATAATGCTTGCATCAGGGTTTCTTATTCGAGCTTTATCCCTTCAGTCCTCAAGGTCTCGGGTGGGGGTTACCGTAGCCTCATCCCAAGTCGCCTGCAACCTTTCTGCATGCAGCAATTTTCTAAATATAATTAAGATCAGGAATGCCCAGTTACTACAAAAGCAGTAGGGATAATTCTATATTAGGATGTAGTATGATTCTTCTTACCATGCCATCGATTGTCACCGTGCAACCAAAGGGTTGCGTTGTCCGGAAGCGGATGAAGTGCAGCGTAAATTGCTTATTTAATACACGAAGGATAACTATCCTATTTAAATGGATGTACTTGGCAATTGAAGTCAAAATACAATCCTTTGAATCAGCATTATCAAGTTTTAAAGACATCAAAAATGAAGAGAGATAAATACGGTCTACGCACTCATTTTCCTTCATCGAAATACGTCGGTTTTGCCGATGAGTCTTCCGAAGAATATTTGGGAAAGAGAGCTACCAACTTCGGCAACCAAGCCAGGTTAAATATATTGAAGAAGGAAACATCAAAACTCAGAGATACATTACGCGTATTTAATTCTTTCCGATTTAACATTCCTCGCATACAAGGCGAAATTTTAAACGCCATACCCCAGTTGGTTGCAGGGCCTGAGAATGCAGAGCTATCTACACACGGCCAATCAGAGCACGACATTGAGATCCAAAGATTGACTGCCGAATCACGAATTATCCAGAACCTCATTACACTTCTCCAGGAATTCAACGCTGGATTGTCAAATATCCAAGGGACTCTGAACAAATTTCTTATAGATCAGGGAACATCTAGACCACCGATCGATGTTTATCCTCAAATCAGGCTTGATTCCCCAGCTTCAGTGAGCATTAACTACGAGAAAATAGGATTCCTTAGTCCTGCAATGGGAAATTTCTCATATACTGAGAAAGAACTCACTAAAGAAGACGTGGAGCATCATTTGAGAGACGGAGACAGATCATTCCCGCCAACTATATCCGTTTCGACAATTCCAGCGAGAATCTATAATATTAGCAAAAGACCGACATTCTGTGACAAAGGGGAATGCTACGTCTATATTATAGACCCTGGTTTACTTCAATTGCTCGGCATCACTTGCCGCGCGACTTCAGATCTTGTCGAAGAACTGGGAATTGAGAAATATTCCCTCCGCAACCAAGACGGTGCACAATACGTCACACCGAGTCACCATATTTGTCATGGATTTATTCCTGTTGAAGCCATAATAATGAAAATGAAGTTGGACGTATATTACTTGTTGCTTGAAAAAACAGGTATCACAATAGGTATGTCATCTATGTACCTGTTGGGATAGTATGCTCACACTTTCAAAAGCTGGAAGCCTGCTGGATACCACATGTATTCAAAAGCTTACTGTCCAAGATTATCTTGGATTTGCGAGAAAACACAATATGGCATGTTCTGAAACCTCTCGGGTGGAGCTGGGCCCCGCGGCAAATGGTTTCCTCTCCTTGCAGGAGCACGTTGCCGATATTGGCGTCGAATCTTTAGTGACAAAGATGTCAGCTTTTCAACTACCGGTTTAACATACGTCAGACTTTGGGTCATCCCGCCCGAATGTGGGAAATTTTTTCACATCGTTCAAAGGACCCTTGAGATCAAATTACATAACTCGCTCAGTAATTGCACAAATCTGCCACATTGTTCGGTAAAGGGAAGCCAAATTATTTAAGAACAGAGATATGTGCCTGTGATATCGTCTTGGGGGTATTAGCATTTGTATTTAATCGATTTCAATTAATGATCTATCTGACAGTCAATAAGCCATTCCATATTCTATGGATGGGCAATTCTACTCGTAATCCAGTAGGGGATAGTGCCTTAAACGGCTTGGTGGAGTTGCCCACATGAATGCGTGTGCCAGAGCCCACTCACCTACACTCATTTTCCAGACTAGCGTCTTGGCGGTAGGCCAAGAATTAAGAGGGAGTAGTTTTATGTTGAAGTGCGATGAGCATAAGTTATGCAAATGGCCCTAGTCAAGTAGGGTTGACCCTTTTTTGGCTCAGTGGCATTTGATATTTTATTGGTGTTGCCTTACGTGATGACCACACCAACCTTACTGAGGGGTTCCTTCCTCCCCTCCCGCAACTGCCTCATGGGAGTCAACTGCTTACCTCGGGTGGTAGCTCCTCATCTCTCACGCAGTCAAGACTCCATTTTCTCCCTCCCACCTCCCTCTGTACATAGAAATTATTGCAATATACAGACACATTGCCTCCCTACTAGGGAGCGCGGATGGGGCCCTATCTGACGCTACGGTCAAAGACCGCAGCGACAGGTGACCCGTTATGGCCAAACTATACTCTCCTTTGTCCCTCTTGACTGCGTGAGGTCACCAATAAAGAAGAGTATAAAACGGCGAAGCGGGTAAGGCACCAGCCTATACCCGCTGACAAGTTTTTCATTTAATTTGACTGTGTTCATTCTTGTTTCAGACAAACTTGATCCGGCAAATTTTTTTGCCCGGTTTCTTCGCATGTCACGGCCTGATAGTGTAACTACACCATGCAGAGAACAAAATAGCTTTCTCTGCTATTGTGCTTAAAATGCCCGTGCTTGAAAGCTGAGACTACGGGAGGCCTTGGAACCGAAACGAGAGTTCAGGATGTGCGACGTAGTTTTTAAGCACCCGTTTCATAAGATGGGCCCAGCTGCATCCTCCGTCTGCCTAAATGTTGCCAAATTATTGACATTACCGCATCAGTTCGGTAAATTCACCGCTCGAATCAAGGGGCGGGGGAATATGGCTATTGTCAGGCGTTCTACCAGAAAACGTCCGGGTATGTGGACGCGAAGGAGGGCAGCATCGGAAGCCGTCTGCAAATGAAAAAAATGGTTCTGGTGGTGGGCAGTTGCTCCGTGTGCAACTCGCGTGCAACTGCCTCCCCCTTTCGTTGATTGCCGGGCATTATTTTGCTCCGATGGGGTGGACCCACTTTGACTTACCCTATGCTGGACATCAGCCCGCCATCTATCACAAAAAGGACCAGAAACGGAAACATTCCATTCCAAATGACTGACTCGCGTCACGCCACCGGGACACGTACTTAGCAAAAGTCTACATCTATGTCCAAATGGGAATTCCATCCCGTGCAAATAACCGTGTATGCTGGTCGGAAGACGGATGCAGTTAAAGATAACCGGGCAAACGACGGGCACTTCTGACGATCCCCTAGTCCCACTCCATCTTGCCCGAGCAAATTGCCCAAGGCTGTGGTGGTTAATAGTGTTCGGGCGTGATATACTCGGGTATCTGCAATGACTTACTATCTATGCAATATTTTCATATCCTTCCTTTAATTACTGGATATCGTGTTCCTGTTTGCACGATGAATGTCCCCGGCCATAAAAAAATACTGAAATAGAACCAGTGTAGATGGCCTGCGGCAGAGTGCCCGACCTTGCGGACCCACCCGAAATCATTAAAACTGCCTGGGTATTCCTTCCATCCCCAACCCTCATAATCCCAGTCAAACAGAAATCGCGGGGTCCTCGTTCTTCCATGTCGTGGTGGTGAAAAACATGGTTTGGAAATTGCCTGAGTTGACTTCGACACCTGTGCAGGAGTGCCATATCAACATATGGCTCGCGGCGTCCCTTCCGAATAATGACTTTTATGCCTCAACTGCGGCTACCCCACATAGAACTCTGGGTTGGCAAAAGTACCCTCTCCTATGCGCATTCAAGAATGAACCTCAGCTCTGGGAGGTACTAGGAGTGGCGTACGCTCCTAATAAGCTTGCGTCCTGTTCTTCACCTTTATTTTCGATAAGCTCAAGGCCTATTCAGACATATTCCGCACCCATGTTTACTTCTGCTGTAGTGACCCATTGATTGGGTTAAACTCGATGTTCGAAAAGACAGGGAAACTCCGGCAGATCCATAGGACATTCAACTTCGACGATCAAGGAGGCCACCGACGTACTGGACAATAATGTATCTCTGAGATGGCGATCCTATATAAAAAAGGAAATGATACTTTCCAGTTCGTTGTTCAAAATTCGATGGAGAATTTCAAACTACTTTGGGGGTTGGCTTTGTCGAAAACCCACTTGGAAATGTTCACGTGCGATTTCCTCGCGGTAAGGCCAGTCCAGATGTATTCCTATCTTTCTCTGGCTTTGCGGAGCAGCAATAGTATAATTGGACAAATCAAGCTTGACTGAAGCTAAGTGAAGAGTCGCCTAAGTAGCTCCATGGTTGAGCAGAACTCTCACTACATCAGCATGCCCATATTTCCTCGCGCGGACCAATGGGGTCCACCCGTAATAGTCTTGTTCGTCGATATCAGCGCCATGATCGAGCAGTAGCTGAACGATATTAGCCCGGCCGGTATATGCAGCAAGGCATAATTCGCTATGTTGCGCAGTGACATGCAGAAGCACTCGTACTATATCTTCATCTCCCTGAGCTACGGCCATGTTCAGAGGCGTGATGCCGGCAGCTTCCTGTCTGCCCGCGTCCACACCAGATTCGATAAGAAGCCGAACAGCTTCGTAATTTCGCCTGCGCACGGCGTACCCCAAGGCGGACCGCCCACCAGCATCTGTAGCATCGTGGTCGAATTTTCCTGATTCAAGTAAGGCTTTGAAGATGCTATAATGACCTTTATCCAGTGCAATTATGAGTGGAGACAGGTGTTCGTTCTGCGGGCGGAAATCGATGATTGGGCACTGGAGGAACCGGTTGACAACAGCCAAATGACCCCGAGAAGCTGCATGTCCTAATGGGGTCAGATAATTTTCATCCAAGACATTTGCCTCAATATCCGGCCGTTTTAGAAGCAGGTCCGTGGCTTTCTCATTGCCCGCTTTTGCCGCATGGAAGAGTGCTGTCTGGCCGCCGGAGTCCGCAACGTTGATGTCAATATTCTGGCGCTGCAGAAGCTTGGTCAGAGGAGACACATTGTGATTAGATGCCGAATAGAATAACGCTGTCCGCCCCTGGAAGTCTGTTGCGTTGATGTCGACACGACCGTCCCGTAGGAGGAGCATAATGTGGGGTGTATCACCTTGTTGAGCTGCGACGTGAAGTACAGCCAGTCCAGACTTATCTCGGGCGTTCAGATTTACCCGTACCGTTTTAAGAAAGAAGCATGTTGCGGATAGATCCCCTTCTCTTACTGCACAGATCAGCCCAGAGCTGTTCTCATAGTCCACATTGTACTGGTATAGGGGCCTTTTCAACAAGCAGTAAAGACCGCTGTTCGCCCTCATCAATGCAAAGATGTCACGTGTGCCACGGAGCACCGCGGTGATGTGAAGAACCAATTCCGGCGGAAGGTCCGCAAAAGACATAATTCGGAAATGCGGATGGCATATACACTGTTGGTTGAAGCTTTGTGGAGACGAGAGTCGGTCGTGTGTAGTAAATCAACGATACTAAATGCACCAGCGATGTACCCATAATTGGCAGAAGGATACACATGATATAGCGCCCCTTTTGGAGCCTACGTGGACCAACCCCCCAGTTGATCAATAGGTCAGTATTGAGAGTACATGTATCAGCTATGGTGAGGAATATACACACTCAGGGAGCCTTCTGATGATACCCGTCAGTGAGACCCGTATTAAAGGAAACGGATGTTCCTGCGATAAATGATTACATAGGCTGATGGGCCCTCAGAAATAGTTTCCACGACTGCCCTCCACTTGCTATCCGTATATCTGAGTCCCGACCGTGCGAAGTTGAAACGAGCTCACCATGATCAAATGTGCGGTTGCTTGGTGAAAACCAATCACATAACAGCGGGTGGTGGCTTTACCAACAACGGGACCTAGCAGACAGGTTCCGCAACAAGTTGAGGTAGCGTCCCCGTGCAGAGAAATTTGAAACCAGTCTCAGAGCTATATAAAGACCCAATGGAGTAACCAAACCTCAGCTACGTTTACAATTCTGCCAACTGACACCGAGATGTCAAGCTCCTCAAAGCACGCGGGCTCCAGACGACCAACTGGAGTCAGTAAGAGATCGGTGAAGACACGGCGACAAGCCAACCAAGAGGCAGAGTCCTTGAAACACCGGATGAACAATTTGGAAGCTGAATCTCAAGAGAACAAGCGCACGAAGGCGGACCTGGAAAAGCAGCTTGAGCAGGTCCAGGAACGAACCCAGGACACAAACGGTATAGATCATGATCAGAACGAAAGTAAACTAAAAGATTTGTTGAATCAGCTCAATGGAGTAGAACAAAGAGGCGAAGCCCTTTCTGCTCAGATAGAAGAGACGCGCCGAGAACAAGATGGCTCGGAGATGGAGACAGATGAGGTGGATAGGGAAGCTCCAAACTTTGCACAAACCCGGGACGAAAGCCTTCCTCCAAACGAGGGCGACACGGTTGTCAAGACAGAAAATGTTGACAATCGGCAAGCATCTCGAAGCGGTGGCGGGACAAAACCCCGGCCAATACAAACGGGAAACGCGCCAATCCAGTCGGCTGAGCAAAAGAGTCCAGCACGTCAAGGCTCTACACTACAAATCGATGACGACAGCGATGAAGATGTGTTGATAGGTATGCAATCGTTGTCCGTATCCGAGGGTGGTATTGCGGACGCGTGGTTCCGAGTACGACAAACAACAAAAGCGATTGTGCGCTTTGGGCCGAAGAGGTATCCCAGGTACGAGGTTCGACCAGGGAAAGGGTACAGTACTGCGAACCTTCAAGAGGTGTCAGACGCCGAGACGCGGATCGCATGTATTACGACAAAAGATGAAACCGGGAGGAAACGACGACTCTACGGCATAGACAATATTGCAGGATTCGACGGAGTGGCTATTGTGGGAAATGGCGTGATCAATTCGACCTCAAGGGCACCAACCACATACGTCAAGATAAAATGGGTTGGCATCAAGGAGCAGCATGCAAACCTATGCAGGAACGGGAAGAACTGGGCCACGAGGACGGACCTTGTCTCTATCATTGGGAAAGAATTAGCGGACGAGAAGATCAGACAGCTCTGGGATACCCAGGAGAAACGGTACGCCGAGTGGGATAACGACCAAATGGGACAGCGATCTTTGGACCGCTCCCCAACCCCCTTTCCCCTTGACGTATATCAGAATGTTCGCAGGACCTCAGGAAATGTTCCACCAGAGGCCCACCGGAGCCCAGCGGTTAAGCGTGAAGAAGGGCCTTTGTCAATGGCAGGCCCATACCACCAGGACAGCACTCCAATGGTCTCCGGAGGCCAAGCATTTTACGACTCCTCTCCAACGTCCAAAGGCCCCCAGAACCTCGAGCCTACGGAGGCTAGCAGTAGCGCTGCTCAGGACCACGGGCGAGACAACGCTGGTAATTCAAACACTGACCAGCAGAAGCCCAAAACCTTCAGCCAACAACAGTATGTGGAGAACATGAAGTTGGACATAGATCTAGATGAAGAGCTCAGAAAAACAGACCTGGGATCATACATGAAACAAATGGCTTTGATCAGGGCCAACTTCGATGTGTATCGGGATGCAATGAATACGCATGGCTATGTAGAAGTGCATTGAGCAGGAATTGACTGACTTCGCGGCCATTGCTGGCGATGGTACCGCATGGGTTAGCTAACCAAGTGGCTGGCTTTTGCTTGTTTTATCGAGACTTAGCTTACAAGAAGTTCATTTGTGAGAAAGATTTGAGCACATATAAAAAAGACCGTGAAGATTATACTGCGTAGACGCATTGCAATGATAAGATTTATTATGACCAAATGCGCTAGCAGACGGCCGTTTATGGTTGTTCTTAAAAGCGCACCAACCGCAGTGCATAGCCCATAACCAGAGTGACATGCATTAGCATCGATGGGATCTTCTACATCGGCGAACTTAGCAGAAGCCCATTAGGTTTGAAGGACAAAGTCAACCGCTAGCTTCTATATCCTCAGAATCTGAACATGGCTCAGAAAGAAAAAGAGGTGTGCCTTGCAGATACTGTATTGCGGTTGATGGGGATTGGAAGGATGGGGTAAAGAGTGAGAATGGGAATGTGTCACCGCCGACCTCGCATCCGGTTCGACACAGACCTTGGAAAGTCGTCGACGGCGACTAGATACAGTCTTCCGCTGACTGACTCTGTACTGGCTATTTTACGTAGTGTCACAGCTGAAGCTTTAATATGGCCATCACGGCATTTGAAAGCCATCGTTATGTTCAATCGCTAATATGAATAGCTACCGGGCCATTGGCGCATTGCATAGGGGCTTCATACCCTCGCTCCATAATACTCTCGCGCTAACCCTTGCTACAGAGCGACCGAATCGCAATTACAGCAACACCCGAATTGTCCTTCCGCGTTTTGCATTTGCTGGTCTATTTTCAAACCCTAACACTAAGCCCTATATCGTCCGTACGTGGTTAGTTCGTATTTTGGTATGTTTGGGTTCTGAAATGTATGACACAGGACGGAAGCCCATCAAGTAAGCGGCATCACGAGACCGACATTGCTGCCTAGACCATCATGCCACCTTGACCCAAGAACTCCAATGGGTTCATCAACAAAACAACCCATAATGGCCCGACATCTTGATTCTCGACAGCACAAAATGATAGTCCATATGATAAGTAGCAACAAACTAACTACATCACAAATTGCAGCGGTTGCAAAATGTAGCCCACGCTCTGTCTCGTATATCCGCAGAAAGTTGCGATTGTATGGCACTGCGAAACCTCGTCTGCTGCGTGCTGGTCGCCCATCCAGTATCACCCCTCTCATGATCAAAGCTCTCTGCGATCACCTAACCGAAAAGCCCGATCTCTATATCGAAGAGATGGCTGTCTTCCTTTGGGATGAATTTAATGTTCTACCATCCACGTCGAGCATTCAACGGGCCCTCTCTAAACAAGGATGGACGAAAAAGCAAGCTCGACAAAAAGCAAAGGAACAGAACCCTCAGCTAAGAGCATTCTACCGCCATCAGCTGTCCAAGTTTGAATCATATCAGCTGGTCTTTATTGATGAGTCCGGGTGTGATAAACAGGTTGGATTTAGGCGAACTGGTTGGTCTCCGCTTGGCGTGACGCCTGTCCAAGTGTCGAAATTTCAACGCGGTCAACGTTACCATATACTCCCGGCTTATGCCCAAGATGGTATTATTATCTCTACTATCTACCGAGACTCGACGGATGCTGGGGTCTTTGAAAGCTTTATTGAGCGGCTTTTACGACACTGTGGGCGGTTTCCAGAACCAAAATCCGTCCTGATTATGGATAATGCCTCCTTCCACCGCTCCGAGCGAGTCAGAGAATTATGTTCTGATGCGGGAGTTAAGCTACTTTACTTACCACCTTATTCACCGGATTTAAACCCTATCGAGGAGATGTTTGCTGAGCTCAAGGCTTACATTAAGAAAACGTGGCCAACATTCGTGGATAATCCTGGCCAGGGCTTCCACGCGTTCCTTCGAAAATGTGTCCAGGTTATCGGCGAGAAAGGCGAGAGTGCAGATGGACACTTTCGACATGCAGGTATAGCGGTGCAGCACAAAGACAGTATGTTAGAGTTGTTACACAGTACATAGCTGAGTTCACTGGTGAACCCTGAAGTCTAGATAACTAAACAGAGATTGAGAAGATTTTTTCATTCTATGTATTCATATCACAAATCATAAGCTCTGTTGGAAGTTGATCGACGATAAGAGAAATAGTATATGCTGGCCTATGAACCAGAGATTGATAATTAAATCCAGGGCATTCGGGTTTCTCAATGCCTGTGACCCAGCAGGTAGTGGCGACAACACCCTGTGGATTCGCCACCGGATGGAGTCTAGAAGAACCAAGTAGCATGTTCTCGAATCAAATACGTCGAAATAAATTTGACCTCTCTCCCACACCCTTCTTTTGCAAAGATACTACAAAATATAGGAGGTAAGAAAATAAGGAACGATGGACGCGTCTTAATCCCGAAATGTTATGAAGCTAACGCGGCCTGATATGTGCCCTATACTGAGTGTATTGGATCTAGTCGTTGAACAATAATGCCTGGCTTCAGGAGGGAGCCACAAGACATTTTTTCCATTCAGGGCTATCCATTCATCTGATAGAGATATCTCTGAGCTCGCCTTGGACGTATTGGGGATAAGAATTCCACAACTGGGTTGAATCTTCATCCATCCTACGTTGGTGTGCAAATATGAGCCATCTTCAGAGAATTCGAGCTCTGTGATCAAACCCACAGTGTTCAAGGTTTCACTTAGAGCGCCCGTGGCGGGATCCCAGAGCCGTACTGTCTTATCACCGGAGCCGGACGCCAGCAGCCGGCCATCGGGGGAGAAGGCCACTGACCCAACCCAGTTTGTATGGCCCTCGAGCGTTTGTAATTCTGCGCTCCAGGTTTCTTGAACCCGCGGAAACTGGAGAATCCAATCAGGGAGCTCTGACTGGAAGTCTCTACGAATAATTGATGTTTGAGGTGCAAATACCAGCCCTGCATGATAAATCTGAAGTGGTGCTTCATCCGCTATTCGACGGACTTTCTGAACAAACCGCTTTGCATCATATAAGAAATCGGCGAAAACAGAATGTTCATCACCCTATACCTATCAGTATGAATAAATCGAGAACTGTCTACTCTGTACTTACTGGTATAACTGTGCGGAGAAGATCAAGCATACCAACCACTTCTGATACAAGACCCAGCAGGCTCATCACCTCCATCCAGTGAAGAAGATGATTCTGGAGAAATATTCGCAGTTCTTCTATGTTAGAAGATGCAACCTGACTTTGTTTGACATGATGTACCCAGTAGCGACAGGAGTATTCTAATTCAGATGGTAGAAAATGGCGGATATCGCTAAGGTTGATGTCTGCCTTGAGCACTCCAGGCTCGATGAGCTTGCAAATGTCCCTGCGTAGATGGCTGCGCATAGTTTTCAGACAGAACTGAGCTATCTCCATGTTCTTTTCTTGCTCGTCCACGTGGAATTGTGTTTTGGATTGGACGAGAAACTCCCGAAACGATAGATGCAGGATCCGGACAGGCTGATCTAGATCATCGGGAATGCTTAAAACTGACCGGAATGATTCTAAGCGATTGGAGATCCGATCCGCTTCCATCCCAAGGAATATCGATAGTGTGTTGATATAAAGTGGTGCTTCCAGAAGAATGATAACACCCACGATATCCTGAAACTCCTGTAGAAGCTGCTGCTGTTCTGACTCATCACTCTCTGGATCATTGAGTAGTTGCGTCAGAATTGGTGAATAAGTTTTTTCCATTCCGGTAACATATTTTCTTTGGTCCTTGAGAAGCTCTGCAAGGCGCAGTTTAGGTTCCAATTTAGAGGTCTCAATGTAGCGGCACACAGTCGCAGCCGAAATGAACAGTGGAAGAGATATCCTGACCAATTCCTGGATGGCCTCATCGCTAGGCCAGTCCTGGATGACTCTCTTATCACGTTTGATTTGGGCAAATCGATGTTGCAGGAATGACTATATATCGCGTTCGGTCACTTTCTCGGGTATCTCATGGAGGGCAAGATCCAGATATTCATTACTCCCGATATCTGAGAACCCGAAGTGGATTGGGAGTTCAGGCCTGCTAGTCAAGAAAACCCGAAGGCGAACCGATTTCACATTTTGTAGAAGAGGTAGGAGTCGAACAATGTTTCGGGTATCTCGGTCATGTTCGCATTCATCCAAAGCATCGACTACTATCACAGCAGTTTGAGGTTGTCGGCTGAGTTGGTCAAGACTCAGCAGTGGTTGAAGGAGTAGTTTCTCGAACTGCTCTCGGAGTGATTTCGATGTAATCTCTGGGTCATTATTGAGTGCCTTTTGCACACCAGGCCTTAGCTCGGGATTCCACAAAACAAGGTGACTTGCTAAGGTCGGGAAAAATTTCTTTGCATTCCCTCGGTCCCCTTCACCCCTTTTAAAAAAGAAGCTGGCACCAAGGTGACGGGTATCATCGAGCGACCTTGACACGGTCCGGGATATTGTAGATTTTCCAGTCCCAGCCATTCCCTTTAACCAGAAAATGGTTTTGGATGACGATGAATGAACCCATTCCATTATTTCCTGGAGGAGCTCGGTCCTTGTGCCTTGAAGACATTCGACTTCGTCTCGATCGGAGAACGACTTGAAGCCTGCATTAGTTGAGGCTTCCAATTTTCGAAGGTCGTTATTCTCAGCTATACCGATTATTAGGGAACTATATATCCATCATGTCAACTATATAGTCAGAGAACATTGCTTCATATACGTACGTCTGATCCACTTGCAAAGAGAAGAGGAATGAAGATTGATATCTCTCAAGGTTTTTCATGACACCTTCCACCTCTATTTTTCTTAAGGGCCACTTCAGGGCACGTAACCCAACTTTCCTCATCAGACTTTTTCCTTTTCCCGGATCTAGTTTCGTTTCCAGGGCTTGGAGGTCGGCAAGGCAATCAGTAATATCGCTCGCTAGCCGTGAGGATACGGGTAGAAATTTTCCCTGGTGGCTTTGAAGGATTTTCCGCAGGTCTTGGAGCGTCCCTTGAAGGTTTTCAACCGCCCGTTGGAGGTTGAGAACT